ATGCTCTAATAAAGTTACTATTTTTTGAGGTTTCAACTCTGAAGTAGGAGCTCTGGGTCGAAGCCAAATTACGGGTGCGTGATTTATTCTGGTTTTCTACTGAGAAAAATCGGGACAGTATTTGCGCCGGGCAGCCGGCCATGTACGCGAAATGGTACGCCCAGTATAGCAGCGATCTATTCATGTTTTATGTTTACAATTGTGCAAAATTTTTTTTACAGGAATTTGATCACATATGCTTAAAAATAATTGTTATACTGATGTTAAAAAATATTTTAAGACACTGAATCGCTGGCTGTGATGTGCAGCAGTGTACGTACGCCGCGTAGCGTGCCAGACATTGGCCGTGCAAGCCTATAGAATGCCCCACTTGCGACATAAATTTCTGAGGCTTATCGTGCGCATCGTGCGTATCCACAATTATTCCCATCGTAAACATAGTCACTGGGATCTGAAATGCATACATACAGGATAATTTCCCTTCTTCAGCGGGAGTTTTGTTTATGTTTTGATCGTACACGTCAAACTGCCACGCTGGTCTACGCTGCGTGCTGGTCCGTCGGCTGCACTTCCGGGTTCCATAAATCGACACCATAAATCGACAAAGAAACAAATATTTCCCCCCAAATTTATATTAATTGTGCACTTTTTCACTAGATGTGGCTATGCAGTCCTGGAAAACAGCGTTTAGTGCATATTTTCAAACAGAAAAATCGCGTCCCCGCGCCCTTCATGTTGCCGCCCGGCGCGGCGATCTCAGCTGAAGCGAACAACCAATCAGAGACGCGTAACGCGGATACGTCATGCAAGATTTGCATACCGCCCGCCCACCGCTTCTGCTGGCTGCTGCCATGCTAGCTACGCGCCGTACTTGCCGTATTTCTGGAAATAAATGCCGCGACACGAAGATCTAGCGCTGACTCGGCTTGCACCCAGCGTTCAGCGTCACCCGCGCCATTACCCCCGCCGTCATTGCTGCGCCGTCACCCAACGTTTTTATCGGAACCAGACACCCCTCTGTTTGACCCCTTTTGAATGCTAAGACCCAAAACTGCAACCTCCCCATTCCTTAACAACATGGTAAATTCCATTTTCAGCATAACGGGGGTGTCCGGAGCACTTAAAAACCTTTTATTTCGACGCCCATAAACACATATGCAATCAAACAAAAACGTTCTGCATCATCTGCAGCCCAATAGCAATACGTATACCGAACAACAGACCAATCCGTCCAGCCGATCGCGAGAAACAGCTGCTGACAGAAATGTTTCGAACAATAGTAAAATCTCCTCGCGGAAGGATATCTCCTTCCCCGGAGGTAATGAAGAAGATGGTGTAAAATTTAATAGAAATAGGCAGGCGATAGGAAATTTTCCTACCCATAGTTCTCAACTTCTTTGAATTATACTACAGATCAGTCATTATATCATAAAAGTGTCTGATGAAAATGCAAGCTGAATGTACAAATAAAGTATTAAATAGTATGATTTCTCATACATGTATTTGAATTCTGCCCTCAGCTATGTTTCCCGCCTCCCCAAACCAGGAGAGACCATCCATGGGAACAAGTTCAGCCTGGGGTTTGGAGGGAAGGGTGCAAACCAGTGTGTCATGGCAGCCAGGCTGGGAGCAGCCACTGCCATGGTAGCAAAGGTGGGGTAATATTAAATACCAAAGAAATTTCAACTTCTGTAAGCTTTATTTGTTCTATACATGGCTTCAAATACAAAGATGTAGTATGATTACACCATGATCCAGACTTAAAACTATAACCTCACTGTATTACATCATAGCCTGGTATCCAGCCTTGTTAGCTTTAGTCCGCTTCCCAAGATCCGCTCCCCGCCACGGAGCGGATCTTGGGAAGCGGACTAAAGCTAACAAGGCTGGATACCAGGCTATTACATCAAGGACCTTGATTACAAACATAATGTTTGATAAGGGAGGCAACTTGATGAACTGTCTTATACCATGACTAGCTTACGTACATTTTGAATACACAGGGATGTTCTTTTTTCTTCTAATATTAAAGGTTGGCGATGATGTGTTTGGAAGCAACTTCATCCAAAACTTCAAAGACAATGGAGTCAATGTAGGTAGGTTCTGCAGCAAACTGATGACTCAATTCCATGAGCAGACTTGGTGCCCTAGTAAATAAAAAGTTCGTAACATCCATCAACATAAAGGAGGATCCCCCTGGTTTCTTTGGGGATAAGCTGCTGTAGTGTTAATCAGAGTTGTGCTAAAATGCCTCTAATGAGGTGAAGTAAAATTTGATCATATTTGCTATCCTGCAAATGGGGAAAGTTATGACTTATTTTACTTATAACATTAACCATATTGGTACCTTGATTTGTCTACTATTTCTAGATAATGTTGAAGTGACAAAAGAAGCATCCACAGGTGTGGCCCCCATTGCTGTCAATGAAGATGGTAAGGGTTCTTAGTTTTGCCCAAATTTCCATGTTATGTTTGTCCTGTTGAATTTTCATTCTGCCATGGGTAATTTTTGGAACCGAAAAGCATTTTTGCCAGTTATTTCATGTTAAAGTTCAGTATTTTTTATACTTGGTATTTTTGCATGGATATTAGGTCAGAATTCCATAATCATAGTGAGTGGAGCCAACCTGAAGTTGACTGCAGCTGATGTGAAGGAGCATGAATCTGTTATTACCCAGGCTAAGGTTCTAATCTGTCAGCTAGAGATTCAACCAGAAACTTCACTGGAGGCATTGAGGATAGGAAAGCAACACGGAGGTGAAACATTGTATTGTACTTTTAATCTGTCTTGAGACATTCTATTTCTCTGAACATATTGATGATTTTGTTACTTTTGACACTTGATAAAATTGTTTATTTGTGCACTTTTCGTTACATTTTGATTACCATTTCCAACTTATATAGGTGTGAAAAGTACTAGTATATTTTAGTACAGATGGATTAATTTTCATACCTATTGTCCTGTTTTGCCTATGCAGTTACCACCATCCTGAACCCTGCCCCGGCAGAAGCCTCCTTGGATCCAGAGCTCTACAAGTTGTCTGATATATTCTGTCCTAATGAGACTGAGGTATACCAACACATACCAAGACAAATTATTATTATTTCAAAGATTTACATACATGATGCTTTGTCATCTTTGAATTTGGTGTTATACGCAATCTGTATCTCCTGACTTTAACATGCAGGCAGAGATACTGACAGGACTGCCTGTCACAACAGCAGAAGAGGCAGAAAAGGCTGCAGACGTCCTGCTGGATAAAGGGTGTGAGAAGGTCATCATCACACTAGGAGAGAAGGGCTGTCTGTGTAAGTCTTCAGTGTCAGAGAAAGGCATCCATGTTCCAGCCAGGAAGGTCAGCCCTGTGGACACCACAGTGAGTAGCGACAGTCTGCATTCCTTAATTTCTTTCAGACTTCTGGAATGAATAATAATATTTTCTTCTTACCAAGTACCAGTTCTGTAGTTTGGGTCCAAATCTTTGCATCACAGACAGACATTCTATATGCATAAACCATATGTATCAACAGTATGGTATTCTAACATATTAACTTGTCTCAGGGTGCAGGGGATGCCTTTGTGGGTAGCCTTGCTTACTACATGGCCTGCCACAAAGACCTGAGGCTGGAAGAGGTGATACAGAAAGCTTGTCACATCTCCTCCATCAGTGTGTGCAGCCCGGGGACTCAGACAAGCTTCCCTTACAGGAAGGACCTCCCAAAGGACCTCTTTTAAACTGAACACAGAAACATGTTGTGCCAATAGACTTTTCAGTCAATTAAACTCAGTTAGAATATTTCATATATGGTTGTGTAATGCAAAATGGGACCACAAATGGCAATGTAGCAAATGCATGTCCTGATTATTCAATGTTCCTCAAGGACAACATGAAATAAATCTAATTTCACTAAGATTTACAAAAATATCATGGACCAGCATTGAACAATGTTGTACACTGTAATTTTATTACCCTATACATCATGGTAAAGGCATCTTTAATTTGTTTTAATTAGTTCAGCACATCAAGTACATAGATAATAATGCTGATTGGAAGAAGGTGCAATAGGACAAAATTGTTACAGGCTATATTATGCCCTATTCCTGTAGTGGTCTTTTCGTGGCCTCTACTTATTCAAAAGAAGGAAGTGACCAGTTTCTCATCGGGATGTTTATTTTCAATGCAAAAAACTTTTTTGTTTTGATTTTAAGCTAAAAAAAACTATTCCATATACATTTTTGTATAAAGACTATGTGTCCATTCACTTCATCGTTTCAGTATCATGTATATAATTGTACACTTAAAACTATTGTTGCACCACACAGTGTCTGACAACACAGGTCTGGCAGGCAACAACAGAGTATTTGAATTGTCTCTCTTATCTTCTCCACCCCTACACTATCATTATTGAGCAGTCCTTCAGAAAACATTGAGCATGTTCCTTATGTTGTTTTCAGTATACTGCTTCTTAGACTTCTTCGATGATGGCAACTACACTATCTGGTGCAAACTGGAACCTCTCTTGTCTCATTTCAGTGATTTGATCTTTCTTTCTTCTCTAAAGACGCAGTGTTTGCCAACTGAAAAAAATACATAAAACAATACTTGTTAGGGATTACAATACATCATACTCACATAAATACAGTACAAACAGTAGGAGACTGATTTGTTGCAGGTGCTGACTTATTCTTTGAAGTGTAATAAATCAATTGTGTGGAAGATCTAAGACAAATTGACATCCTTACCTCTTTTGTCAAATAATATAGCAACAATTTTATCTTCTGTTCTGCCTCTCTTTTTTACAATACTGCAGCCGCTCCCAGACATGCTTCTCAACAGCACCAGCACATTCCTGTCAGGTGGACAAACATAGGCCTAGTTATACTTATAGCAAGGAATCATTTTAACATCCTTAGATGTGATGTCCTGTCAGGTATGACATGAAATAGCCGTGGCGACTATTGATTCGGGCTTACATTGCATTACCCTCAGCAATAGTCGTGGAAAGATCCATTGGCAGAACTGCACATTTCCCGTTGGCTGCTCGATGCTCCGTTTTTGACCCGGTTTTTTGCTGTCCCGAGCTTCCCTACAATATAACTCCACAATTGGCCGGGTTGCCGATGTTTAGATCAGCCTAAATATTCCACAGCGCGACAGAAAAGTAGTAAAATAGCTAGTCGGCACAAGCTGGCGCCATCTTGGATATAGTCGGGAATGTCCGCTACCGCGGTCGGGAACGCTCGGTAGCCTTTCCGGTTATAATCGGAGAGCTTTCGGTCGGGCTTCGGTAATCGTGACGCTACCGAGCGTTCCCGACGGCGGTAGCGGACATTCCCGACTATATCCAATATTCCCAATGGATCTTTCCACGACTATTGCTGAGGGTAATGCAATGTAAGCCCGAATCAATAGTCGCCACGGCTAGACATGAAACAACTATTATATAGTATATGCATGTATTGCTACCTATTTGGAAGACGCTTCAAAACACGTACTAAAAGTATGAATGATTTAAGTTGGCTATGTGTACATCAAGAGCGACATGTACAATGGTACAATGGTACGGTCCAAGATGGCTGCTTCTTTGCATCTCTGCTAAGCCTCCAAATTTCATCCTTCAAATATCAGGTTTTGGCTTTGCCATCCTTTTATTCTTTTTGCATAGAAGTCTTCAGTACTTCCTGATTGAATATATTGTTGATTCTTTTTAATCCAAGGCTATTATTCTTGTGATAAATCCTGATTCACAGATCAGGTTTTTGTGCGTCCATCTTGGCCCAACCATTGCAACATAAGCAAAGCTTTGAAAGGTTCAGTGCAATAGGTCTGCACCCTCGGCCTGCTGAGGTAGAAGTTTGGTCTCCGGAAGTTTGTTCTTTGCCGTAAGTTTTATTATGCATCCAAAATTTATCGGGGGCCTGCTTCATCTCAGCTAGCGACCGTTTGGGGAGGGGGACAGTGTTGTGCCGTGCCGTTTCAGCTTATACTTTCATATTACATAGGTGTTTAGTATTAGGCATTTATACAATTGTTTATGAAAGCGAAATGTTTACAAGTTTGTATGTTGACCATTTTGGTAATTGTGACTAAATTGTATTTTTACTGTAGATAGTGTGATGGCATAATAGTGTTGATTGATATGTAAATTGGACACGACTTAACTCAAGTGAACAGAAGCACACGCTGATAGGATTTACTGTTGTGTAAATTAGGCCACAGGTAGATTGTTGTTGTTGCACAAATGGTAAATTAGGTTAATTAGATTAGGCTAGTTGAAAATAGAACCACGATACCTTGGAGAAATGAAGCGTTTTGTACTAGCTATTCCAGTATTTGCTATTGTCGTTGTGTATATGTATACAATTGTCAGTATGAACAAACCAAAGACACGAGGTCTGAACATAGCCCACCTCAATGTGTGTAGCTTACGTAATAAGGTCAACGACTTAGCCCAATTGATGAAACAAAACCAGATACACATAATGGCTGTAACAGAAACACATGTAGATGATACCATAACAGATGGACAACTATGCATAGAAAATTACAGCTTAGTCAGAAGGGATAGGAACGGGAGGGGTGGGGGTGTTGCCATATATACAATAGATATGATAGTTGCTAATGTTAGAGAAGATCTCATGCTCCCCTCAGCAGAAGCACTTTGGATACAAGTTCATCTACCACATGTGAGACCTTTTCTAGTTGCAGTGATATACAGACCACCAAACTCAAATGTTGGTTACATGGATAAGTTGGAAACGATGTTAGATAGAGCCACATGTGAGCAACAGGAAATGTATGTCTTAGGTGACTTTAATATTGACTGGATTCAGAACTCACATGCGTCAGAGAAGTTGAAGAAAATGACAGAAAGCTACAGTATGAAACAACTAGTTGGTGTGCCCACAAGAACTGTCAACAGAGGTCAGACTGTGTCAGCATCTTGCATCGATCTTGTTTTCACTAACCAGCCAGACAAATGTGACAATATGAGGCTACACACCATAGGTTTCTCTGATCACGACGCTGTAATTTTCACACGCAAGTCCAAAATTCACATGAAGGGACCGAGAACAGTACATAAGAGGTCATACAAAATGTTCAAGGAGGAGGATTTTCTGTCTGACATACATGAGGCGCCGTGGCAATTAGTCTACAACTTTGATGACGTCGATGACGCAACGGACATGTTTACAGATATCTTACAAGACATATGTGACAAACATGCTCCTATCCGAAAGTTTACAGTTAGATCCAATTCAGCACCTTGGCTGACCTCGGACATACAAGAAGTGATGAAGCTAAGGGACGAGGCAAAGAGAGGGCGAAAGCATCTGGTTTTGAATCTGATTGGGCAGTCTTCCGAAAGCTGAGAAACAGAGTTGTGTCACTGTGCCGTAAGGCAAAAACTCGGTTTTCAGGGAAACCTTCGAATCGTGCTCGGGAAATGCGAGACGAACATGGAATACTATCAACTCTCTTTTAGGGAGAAAGCATACAGTAAGTCCAACTAGTATTGTAGCGGATGGGAAGCTCCTTACAAAACCCAAGGACATAGCGGACCACTTTGCAGGATTCTATGAGGATAAGGTCAATAAGCTTCGTTCATGCATAGACCGCACGAATGCCCATGGATCCTCATCTGAAAACTCACATGCGTCCAACTCACATGCGTCCAACTCACATTCGTCCAACTCACATGCGCTGCCTGGTCATCAACAATCTTTCACTTTCGATCCTGTAACCGGCGGGGACGTACACAAGATCCTCTCACAGCTTCAGGACTGTAAAGCACCCGGTCAAGATGGTATCGAAAACAGGCTGCTGAGGATGAGTTCAGACACCATAGCTGGACCAATGGCTTATATTATCAACCTGTCATTTACAACAAAAACCTTTCCCACACGGTGGAAACATGCCAAAGTTGTTCCGATTCCCAAGGACAACAGGAAACCGCTGTCAGGACCAAACTCGAGACCTGTGAGCCTACTTCCAGCTTGTGGGAAGATATGTGAGAGTATTGCTGCTAAGCAGATCGCATCCTACCTACTCCAGTCAGATTGTCAATCAGAGGCACAACATGCCTACAGAAAACTGCACTCCACCGAAACAGCTCTGCTGAAGATGACAGACGACTGGCTAGACAACATGGATAATGGGTTTATGACAGCGGTAGTTTTGCTGGACTACAGTGCGGCATTCGATTTGGTGGACCACAATCTTCTTCTACAGAAGCTCGAGACGTACGGGTTCACTGAGGATGCGTTGGATTGGACTGAATCGTACCTGACAAACCGCAAATGGCAAGTTTACACGAATGGAGCCTACAGCAGTCAGAACACCCTACACTGCGGGGTACCACAGGGTAGCTGCTTAGGTCCGCAACTGTACAACATCTACGTGAACGACATGCCTGAAGCGGTACAAAATGGGTCATTAGACCAATATGCTGATGATAGCACGATTCACACACGAGGACACACATTAGAGGACATAAGAACAGAAACCAAAACAGACTTAGAAAGAGTGGCAACATGGTCAGATGAAAACATGCTGAAACTAAATAATGGAAAGACGAAAACGATGCTTGTGGGAACAACAAAGAAAACCAGGCAAGCACCACCTTTGGAGCTGGAGCTAAGGGGACAACGTCTAGAACAATGTCCCTCAGTAAAGCTACTTGGACTTCACCTTGATCAAAACCTCACATACGACAACCACATTGCTCACATAGTTAAGAAGTGCAACAGAAGCTTGGCACAGGTGGGAAGGGTGAAGGACTTACTACCACATCGGCAGAGAATAGCCGTAGTCAACGCCTTAATAATCCCACATATAGACTACTGCTGCTCCGTATGGGGAAACACAACACAGAACAACATACGAAGACTACAGGTGGTCCAGAACAGGGCAGCAAGGCTAGCTCTTGGTTGTGATCGGGATGCACATGTGGACACCATGCTGAAGACATTAGGATGGCTGACTGTCAGGGACAGAATCCAACAGAGAAGCCTTGTCACATTTAAACGTATCATGCTCACCAAACAACCAAAGGCCTTGTACGACAAAATCACATTCCAATCTGAGATCCACAAGTACAGCACACGTTCAACCAGCACTAACAAAATCAGACTACCAAAACCAAAATCAAACTCTCAGAAAAAGCGCTTTATGTACAGGATGTCACACACGTGGAATAACATAGGCAACTAGCAAAGTACTGGATTGTAAATAGTGAATTTGTGTAAAGTTTGCCATGTACTGTTAATTTTGTAATGTTTTTGTACGTTTGTAATATATGTATGTAAATATGAATGTGTAGACCACAGGAAGAATAGCCTCTTATGAGGCTAATTGTGGATCTGAATAAAACTGAAACTGAAACTGAACATCAGGAAGACACAATATATTTGCTTATAAAATTATGACATATGCACTGACTGTAGACGGAAGAGTCTACTCTACTTTATGAACTATTGTGTTTGCGTTTACCAAGCAGTGGATAAGCCAGTCACATGTAAATCCACCTACTTGCTCTTGGGTTTCTGCAGAGTAGTTGTGACGTGAAATCCTCGAGTCTGAGGACCTAGAAATGATGTATTTCGGGAAAATAACGTCGAACACAGACTCAGTCTGCCCACGGCGGCCATGATGGTCGAGGGAAAGGTCACGCAAGTAGCGCGCATGCGCAATTTTTTCCGAATCCACCCGAATGTTTCCGAAAATCACCGATGGTTCCGAGGTGTACGTACGCCTGCCACGTCCACATAGCAATATATTAGCAACTGCAACTTTTCTCACGGGCTGTTACTTCCTTCTCTCTCGGTTTAGGAGCCGATCCTTACTAACCGTCGATCCTTTGTATTCTGTAGAATATAAAAGATGAGCACTTTACACTATCTAGTCTTTCTGCTGTGCGTATTTTTGGCTGATGTGGAGGGGATAGGCTTCACGTTGCCTCCTAACGCGAAGAAGTGTCTGAGGGAAGAGATCCACAAGGACATTCTTGTAACAGGAGACTACGAACTCTCAGACGCACCAGGACAGAGCACACATCTATTGGTAAGAGACTTATTGATTGGTTTAGCTTACGTGTTCATTCCTTCGGTTCTGAGTACCTAGTGACGAGTACAGGGGAAGAGAAAGCAGCATGTTTTACGCCCCCCTCCCCACCTACTACAGCAGGTGCCACATGTTTAGGCATAATTTGTTGGATAAGTATAACCTTTTCTACAAGGATTACAGATGGAAATGCATGTATACCGTCTGTAGTTCAATGTGCATAATAAATGCAGCACAATAAATAAATTTGCTAATACATGTATATTTGCCACAAATGATTTTGAACCCAAAAAAAATTATGTAGAAGCAACCTAGAAATTGCAATCTTTCAAATAGGAAAATACAGATAATGTCTCCCTTTTTCCTGCAGGCCAATATTAAAAACTTGTTACTTTCTCAAAACAGAACAAGACACAAAATGAAAAAATGTTTTGTAAGATTATTACAAAGAATCATTATGTTAATGACTGACTAAATGCATCTATTTCTTGACTAACTTTGACCAATGTTCGAAAATGCAAATTTAAGTTGTCTTATATTTTTTGTGTGAAGACAACCATATGGCTAACCTTTCCCATGATCCTCTAGGTGACAGACTCCAGTGGCCATGTACTGTACTCCAAGGAAGATGCCACCAAGGGGAAGTTTGCCTTCACCACTGATGACTATGACATGTTTGAAATTTGCTTTGAAACTAAGATGACAGGTAGGGGTTTCTGAAATAATCTGTGTAATGTTACATGTTGATAACTCTTTCAAAATTCAAGTAATTAATGAAAAAAAAATCATTCGAATGACTGCCACAATACTATTCAATATATCAAATTTGTGAAATTTTTGTCCTCCAGGAGGAGCCAGGGGTCCAGACAGGGAGGTCAGCCTCACTGTCAAACATGGAGTCGAAGCTAAGAACTATCAAGATGTAAGTGGTTTCACACTTGTCTTCATGGTTATAAGCCGTGGATGTTTAATACATCATCATCATCATGAAGTATTGACAGAACCTTGTTTAAATCACTATAATGGTATAAACATAAATGTGCACTGTACCAGCTATGATGCTGCCATTTGTCACAAAGTTGATAAACATCATTGTGCAGGAGTGAATTTTAACTTTCAAGTAATTCTGAAATGTGGCTGAGAAACAATGATGCTGTATCTAAAAGGATGGCGCCCGGAAGGCGGAATTGAACCGCTCCGACGCTAGTCGGCTACAGGTTTGAAGCCTGCACCCCGGACCACCGAGGTTCATCCGGACAATAGGAAGCTGTAAATCTCATGTATATATACCTCACAAAACAACTGTATCATCTGTTTGTGGTACAGACAGCAAATAAGACTGATGTAGCAAAAAAACACTCATAGATATCTTTTGGGGCATAAAAATTGCAATAAATGCATTGTAATTAAGTTTCCCTTTCAAATACCAATTTCAGGAATATTCCAATACAATGTGAATCATTGGAAAAGGTTGGATACTACAGGTGTCATTAACATAATTTATGCATGACTTGCAGATTGCAAAAGCGGAGAAGCTGAAGCCTATGGAAGTGGAGCTACGTAGACTGGAGGACCTGTCTGAGTCTATTGTCAATGACTTTGCTTACATGCGGGCAAGGGAAGAAGAAATGAGGGACACAAATGGTAGGTGTTCATGGGCATGATGGCACTTCACATAATGAGTTGTAGATATTACCATGGCATCTGTGTTATCATCATGCATAGGTATTGGGGCCTATTGAATCTCTTTGGTGTGTGTGTCTGGTTGGATAAACATATTGGTTTTTTTCATGGAAAAACACCAGTCTTCATGGAAAATACCAGTATGCCTGCTGTTCAAGGAATACTTAGCTGACACCACAAAAGTTCTTGCTTGCATATGTTATTTATTCTTAACCTTTGTACACATCAATCATTGATTGCACTGTACGTAGCATGTGTATGTAACACACACTTGTATAGTAAATTGCCATATAAGATATGTAAATGTTGACTGTGTGCAGTGGTTTCTCTATGAAGGGTACTTACTGACTGATGTTGTATTCACACAGAGTCCACCAACTCCCGAGTGCTATACTTCAGTATTTTCTCCATGTGCTGTCTGATTGGTCTGGCTACGTGGCAAGTTCTGTACCTGCGTCGTTTCTTCAAGGCCAAGAAGCTTATTGAGTAGAGAAGTGCAGTTGATAGTGTGTATATAGAAGCCGTATGCTTGCTTTGTGCATAGCAATCAATCTGGGATTAGAACTACTAGTAACTAAAGTTTGTTTCTTTGATGAGATGTTAAGATGAATTATTTCCTTGCTTTTGTCATACCATATTTACAGAGGTCACTTGTCAGCTTGCAGAAGTTTGTAGAATAGTATGTATATTGCAGTATGAAAAGATTTGTTGGCATGCAAGAAAATCAGATCTGGAAGTTCCCATACATACACATCAACCTGCATGTATGAACATATACATGTACAATTATGGTAATGATACTACAAACATATACATGTGTATTTGATTTGGAGAGATCATGTTGTTTATAATTTTTCCTTTTTCTCACCAAAATTGTTGCCCAACCCAAACATGTTTTTATGCAAGGGCATTAAGTAGTAATGTTTTCCCAGAAGAAAGGAAGAGGTATGTACACACTTTGAAGAACAGCCTTCAGTACCATGTATTGTTGTAGACAGAATGGTGAAGCTGAAATTTCAACAGTAAAATTGGTGTGATTGAAGAGTACATTGGGAAGAATGTGTTTTGTGTACTGTTGAAGCTGCAGTAAGATGTACAATCTGGATTTTATAGCCAATAATCTTGACAGGATCTTGAGTTGACATCATCCACGTCTTTCCTGCTGCTGATTCTCAATCAGCACTTCAGTTACATTGGCCTAAGCTGATGTTGCTATCCTTGCCAACTGTGACTCTTATCTACTGTCCAGCAGCTGTGATGTGTGAATTCTTAGTGCAAATCTGCAGATCTAAATTTGTAGACAATGAATTCTCACCAGTGGTTAACAATGGTTACTTTCAAGGGGCTATTAGCACAAGTGTAACAGCTGGTCCCCATTCTGTTTCTGTTGATTTCAACTACATGTATTTGCTGGCCCATAACTTGTTTAGTCTTGTATTTATCTGTCAGTTTCTGTTATGAAACTCTAAGATTACCGGTAACTTTCCCGTCCCAGTGTCAACAGAAATGGCAGCATATAAATCAAGATCTGAACAAATGGATGGCCCTTTATTGAAGATTTACAAAATAGCTCAGTTCTCATTTTTCATAATTTCTCAATGTTCTAGTATCAGTGTGGTACCCAAGGGAAGTACCCATTATATTGTACAGTATTAAAAGTAACTTGTACTCTGGAAAATGTCACCAACGAAGGTGTGGGTGAAACTGCAATTTTGCCTCTGAAGACCAGGGTTATGTCCATACCAGTGAAATGTTGCATGTGCTGTGCAACAGGTGTGGGTGGATACAACTTATAGGAGGTATGTTAATATTGATACTGTGGATTAGAAAAAGGTGATTGGTTTTAAGGGCATTTACATTATTATGGGTTCACCACACCACGAAGTGGTGGTGAACCCATATTGCTTTTTCTGATGTTTCTTCTCCTTCTCCTTCTTCTCCTGCCATTTTTTAAATGGATTCAGCTTCTTCATTTTAGGGCCTAAGGTCCTGAAATTTGGTATGGAGGTACAGTGGGCAAATACCCCTAGGCGTTTTTTAAATTTTTGTGACACAAGCTTTTACAATCGTTTTATTTGCTTTTTTAGCGGTCCCCATAGGAAAGTACTGTGGGGACGTACGCGCGTGACGTAATAAGAAAGGAATTCGGCGGTATGCCCATATATGGGCATGCAAGCATGAACCAGACCAATCTATTCTTCTTGCTGATTGGCTGTTGGATTTGATTGGATTAACTCAATTAACACCTGTTCAAAGCCATTCCATTTTGACAGTATGAACTCAAGTGTTTTGGTAGGTACAGCACAGGCCACGAAATACGCATCGATTTTCGAGGGACGTTCTGCGGGAGAGTGCCGGACGCTGTGCGGGACTTCCCTCGGGAGAGTGCGGGACGTCCTCCGGGAGAGTGCGATACGTTCTGCGGGAGAGTGCGGTACGTCCAGTGGGAGAGTGCGGTACGTTCTGTGGGAGCCAGACATTTTGCTCTTCTCTGTTGGAACAACGCAAGTTGGAGGTCAATGACCTGCGCCCGGCGTGTAAACAAAAAAGTTACGCGGTACGTAATGTGTATCGTCGGCGCGCGCGCCACGGTATCAACAATTTTCCGCAATCTTTACCAACTAGTATTATCTAGGTTCTGTTATAGCCTGGTATCCAGTCTGATTCGTGGTCGGGGCCGCAAGAGCTCTGGCCCGCCCGCCTCACATAAGCGTCCCGGTGTGTATTTTACGAGAGATTAATTAGCCCTCCACGAACATGTTAGCTCGGTTGGAAACGCGCAAGGCGGCAATCCCAGGCATTGCAAGTTCGAACCCCAGTGCATCGGACATTAATATTTTTAGCAATTTAACATTTTTAACAATTTTATCATTTTTAACAATTTTATCAGTTTTAACAATTTTAACAATTCTGCATTTTAACAATTTCAACATTTTTTTTTATTTTCGTTGTTTTGCTTTTAACATTCAAAAACTGATTGTTCTTACTCAAGAATGTCAATAACTTAGAATGTTAGTCTTTTGTATTTTTCCTAACATACAAACTAAAATCACTTTGATGTTGTCACAAAAGTATTGAGCTGACAAGAGAGAAGGAGTACGGTACTCTGCCAGTGTGAAGAATCTACAGAGGTATTACCAGTCACTAGTAGCAAGAGATAGACCACATTG